GATTGTATATAAATTAAGGAAGTGATTGACCAGTAATTAGTAGATTAGATCAACGGTGATAATAGACTGCATTGCACGTCGCAGCATCGTCTAATCGAGCTATCACTAGTGTTAGAGGCCAGGTTTGATTCCTGAATTGTTTGATAAAATGGGTACAAAGTCATCTTGTTAAGTAGGGTTACTCCCGGTTACTTGTTCAATAATGTACTATGTTAGCGTAAGGCAAATTGTAGACTACTTGACTTTGATAAAGCATAGAAGTGACGACTCTATAGGCTGAAGTGATCTTTCTATCCAAATTTGATAGGACCTAGAGGTCTAGGTACCTACGTATGCCACCTTAAAAGGGTTGTGTAGAGTCTATTCCTAGATGGCAACCTTAGGTAGTTACTCTATAGCACACAGCTTAGGTTGTAATAATATACTATGGTCCCATTACCTGCTAACACATAAAAAAAAAAAAAAAACAAAAAAAGAGGATTAGCAATCCTTGCTCAGTGGTTAAGCCATGAGCCCTTATTAAGCTAAAGTTTCATTACACAGCAATAGATCATGGTTCAGATATCATGTAATATATAAAACTATATGATTTTCCATAAGGAATTTCTTTGTAACTGAATAAGTAGATGTATATACTAATATTCGTTAGATTCTGATTGATCGATCTATCGATCAACATTGATTATGCCTAAATACTGCATACAAGTAGATGCAAATAAAGCCTGGGAAACTTGGCCTTTACTAATTGGTCTGTAATGGATACAGTTTTATGTCTCACTCAGCAGGGTTCTTATTTTCGTATATGATCATAAGATTGTATATAAATTAAGGAAATGATTAACCAGAAATTAATAGATTAGATCAATGGTGATAATAGACTGCATTGCACGCTGCAACACTGTCTAATTGAGCATATCATTGAGTATAAGGTTAGGTTCAATTCCTAAGATATTTATCAATATAGTCTGATCATCACTCCCATTAGTTTACCGTTTAGGCAAATCTTGTGGTAATAATCCCATGAATCCTGTAGCATTAATTGGGATAAGAGTATACTCTAACAAGATATATAGTATAATAGATCCTCAGTCTTATAGTGATATATGATCTCAGATAGCTAGTAACCAGCAGAAGGTGTTAAATCTTCCTAATAGGCTTAATTCTAGCAACAGCATCACTAAAGGCAATGGCAATATCTGGACCAGTTACAATAGTGTAAGTTGCCAATGGCAGAAATGACTGGTGGAGATCTAGGGGTGAGGTCGACATAAATAGAATACTTGAGATTCTCAGTTTTAACATCTCATCTAAACATTATTACATACTGAAATTAAAAAAAAAATAAAATAAACAAAAAAAAAATAAACTTTATTTTTTTTGTTCCTTGACAAAAATTTCTTATTAAAAATATTTGGTCATCATAATTACAGATATTATGATAAAAAAAAATAAACAAAAAACTAATCGAAAGTTATTCAGTTGGTATGAAAACCTTTATTTTAATATTAATATTAACAATACTAACTGTATTTTCTTTCTTTTCTACTAACTGTTTCTGCTTCTCTACTAACTGTTTCTCTTTTGCTTTCTATTAACTGTCTCTCTTTTGATTTCTCTATTCTACTGATTGTCTTTTCTCTTTTACTTTCTCAAATCTACTAACTCTCTCTTTTTACTTTTTTATTCTACTAACTGTCTCTCTTTTACTTTTCTATTCTACTAATTGTCTTTTTTTTTTTTTTTAGTTTCATGCGAATTTTTTGAAGTATCAAATATTTAAACATTTAATTTCTTTATTTATCAACCATTTATTTTAAAAAAATTCTCATCAATGTTTAACTTTATGAGACTTATGATGGTATATGTTACTGTGACCTTGTTTTTATAATATTTTCATATTATTTGTCAAATTGTTTTAAATAAAGCATAATTTGTATATAAATAAATAAATTTAAATATATTAAACTCAATAAATTACAAAATATTACATGACTAAAAGTTTTAAATAAATATTATAAATGAATTGACGCCATAAATTTTTGTAAACTACGTTAATCTACTCCTAAACTTTTGAAATTCTTGTATTATTGTAAATTTTACAGAATATTACACTATAATGTTATGAAATACTACATCGTAAACTTTGAAATTCTTGTATTTTCGTAAGTTCTACATAATATTACATTATAGTATTATAAAGTACTACGTCGTAAACTTTCGCATAGTTTACATTCCATAATATTACGTAGTACTACATCATAATGTTATGGAATATTAAGAATATACAATTTATATAATTTTACGCAACCTCATAAGTTTTCGTAATATTATAGAATGTAAGTTTATGCAATATTATGTCCTATTAAATTTACTGATGTAGTAATGGTAGATTAGTTTTTAAATCAATACGATAAAAACTCATTGTGACATTTTCTTTGTCAAAAAAAATCTTTCAAATTCTTTATCTTTTATTTCAGATATATAATTTCATGTTACAACTGATTTGATTTTTGCAAAATATTCTAGATTATTTATACAATTATATTTCATTAAAATACTAATTAAATCATTTGAAGTTTAAAAATAATTGTGGTAAATTATTTATAAAATAACAAATGATATCATATTTGAACTTACTTGCAATTTTTTTTGTATTTCTCTAAATCCAAACTTTTCTATTATAATAGAAAGAATTTGTTATTTTTCATTTAATCTGCTTTATTAATTTTGATTGCTTCTTTAAAACATTTTCAGAATTTATCAATAATTATTTTCAATTGATTGTTTTCTTTTATACATTTAGATTTATTATTATAAATACAATTTAGCAAATTCTTATTGAACAAATATAGAAGTACTATATTCTTACTACTGAAATTTATTACGCTTCCAAAATTCAAACTATAATAAAAGTAAGTTTATTTTTAGTAAAAATTTGCAAAATTAATTCAATTTTTCAATTCATAATTGAATTTTATGAAATTTTAGTATAAATGATTAATTTCAAAAAACTTACCTTTATTTTTGCTTTTTATAAAACGTTATATTCATATAATCCATACTTTTCATCATCTTCTTCCAAGCACATAACTCCCAATCATTAAATTAGTGGATATAGAGTTTAAGATATGTTATATACTTTATAATATTTGATTCTTGTTTTTTCACTCAATAAAAAACTTATGTCAATTAAAATCAAGAATAATTGTATGACGTTTTAGATACCATTTGAACACTTGGGTCATTATTTTGATATTTATGATATATATTGATGATTTTGCATAAATTTTTAATATATTGATTGTAGCAGGATGCTTAATTCCAAATAAAATGACACTATCGTAATTTTTTAATATTCACATTTTCTTCTAAACTTCAGTTGGTGAAATATCACTATAATATGCGATTCTTTTTTTTTAAAATATCTCTATTAGGGTTCCTCAAAATCAAATCGAATCAAATATTGAAGCAATTTGAATTTGATTTGATTTTTTCGAATCAAATTAAATCAAATTAAATCAAATATAAAAATTTTTTTAATTATTATAATGATATATTAAAATAAAGTTTTAATTGCACTAAAAAATTTCAAAGATAGCTTTTATAAAGTAAGTTAGTAACAGGTGCATTTATATTAAGTAAAACATAGTAAAAAACGCCTCTGCGGCTTCAGAAATGCTTTTTTTACTAAGTAAAACATAGTAAAAAATGCCTTCGCAGCTTCAGAAATGCTTTTTTACCAAGTAAAACATAGTAAAAAACGTCTTCGCAGCTTCGAAAATGCTTTTTTACTATGTTTTACTTAGTAAAAAAAGCATTTTCGAAGCCATGGAGGCGTTTTTTACTATGTTTTTCTTAGTTAATACCATCTCTGAAGCTTTGGAAATGGTTTTACTATTAATTCAAATCAAATCAAATATTTGAATAGTTGATTTGAATATGATCGAATCGAATCAAAGATTAATTTGGATTTGATCAAATAAATGATTCTTTGATTTGAATTTGATCGAATCAAATCAAATTGTGGAACCCTAATTTCTATACAATACTTTTTATGTTCAATTTTTTAGAATTCACAAATTTTCTAAAGCCTGCAGGTTTAAATTTGTTGTAGAATCTTTGCATTGAATTGTTTTGAGTGGGTGACTTGGTTTAATAGGTTCTTTATTTTCATTTGGTGAAATTGATTTTTGTAGAAAAGAGCATTTCATAACAAGATGAGCTGAATTGCCATATTTGTGACAGCTTCTAGCATCAGGAGAACATCACATTAGTTAATTATTGCTAAAAGCAAAGTTTTGTTGAGTTGCTTTATTAAGAGCTTTCTCATTTTCAAAATGTAAAATAACAAAAGAATGAGATTTATAGTTGTTGGATCTTAGAATATAACTGGTACTAGCTTTAGTAGTAAGAATTATATCATGTAAGTCTCTTGCAGAGATACCAAAAGGAAGATTTATTAATTTGATGCAATGTATATTCCTATATTTAATTTCTTCTGAAGACAAATGCAAGGATTTACATAAACAGAATCATTCTAGATAAATCGACTTCACACTTGATAAAATAGCTTAATACATTTAGAGTTTTCATAAGTAATATAGGCATGTTACCACATACTTCTTCTTGTCATTTTAAAATCAGTAATAGTCTCATATTTGGCAAAATCTTATTTGATATTGCAGGCTTCATTTGTAATAGATTGTCAGTAATATAAATAGTCCTTTCGTTGAATTGCATATTAGCTTTGTATTAAGAGAAATCACAGAATGTATCAATCTTAAGATCAGGAATGGTCACGTGTAAAGCTATAGCAGTTGTATTTAATGTCATAAAGTAGATAATTATTGAACACGTCAAATTATTGTGATGAACTGAAACTCCTTTAAAATCGTCATTTTAAGTAAAAACATTATTGATGATAAGAATAATTTTGCTGTTATTCTTTTCTTTAGGGGTAAATTTAATATTACTGGCAACTATAAAGAGAGTAGTTTTTATAACAACAGTAAAATCTTTTAAGTCTTCTTCTATATCATCGTCTTCAAGATATTTGTTAGAATCTAAAAGTTTTGATCTATTTTTAGATGAAGAAGGGTTTTCAGAGATATTGTCAACTTTCATGTTATTATTATTGTTATTATTCGAAGATGAAATAACTGGTGAAATTTTGTTAATAGTGGCAATTTTAGATACATCAAAAATAAAGATAGATACCATAATTAAGAAATTGCAATTCGATATGTTGCAACTTGAGTTGCAACTCCTTGTAAATTTATTTTAATATAAAAATTCATAAATAGTTGCAACTCAAAGTATTGTAACTTAAGTT